GCAACCACTATGGAAATCAATATGGAGATACCTCAAAGAGCTTGGACTGGAGGTTCCATTTGACCCAGCCATCCCTCTGCTGGGTATCTTTCCAAGAGAACTAAAAGAATCATATCACAGAGAAGTATGTGCACCCATGTTTATAGCGGCACAGTTTGTAATAGCTAAATCTTGGAAACAGCCTATTTGCCCATCTGTTGGAAACTGGATAAAGAAGTTGTGGTTTTTCTATAAAATGGAATATTACTCAGCCATAAAGAATGAGAAAATAGATTCATTCATAGGATAATGGATACATATTGAAGATATACTCCTAAGTGAAATAAATAAGTCACACATGTGTAAATACCGAATAGTTTCCCTGGTGTAAATAATCTGCAACAATGCATAAGATCCTAATAAGATTACTGACATTTAGAAATGGGAAGAAAGGAGCTAAAGGTGTAGGGAAGATGGGATGGTTAGGGGAAGAGTAAAGAGGGAAAAGAAAAAAATGTGAGATAATGAAAAGATGAAAATAAAGTGTTTGTAGATGGGGAGGGGAGGAGGGGATGAAGGGAGGGCAGGGACAAGGGGAAAAAATGAGAACCAAGACCTGTCCTGTATAGGTACAAGATCCCAACAATGAATGTAACTGTACTGTATCCCTAAAATGTACCAATAAACTCAATTAAAGCTGAAAAAAAAGATATTAACGAAGTAAAATTTTGTTACTTTGCATATGGAATGCAATCTCCCAATTATTTCCAAATGTAAACAACCAGCTAAAAAAATGTTTTGTGCATATCATGCTTTTCATATTAGAATTCAGAAAAAAATTTAAAATATAACTCTGAGTACAAATTTTCTCATGATCAGAGACTGAGGAGTGTGCTTTAGCTTTTTTCATTGCATGTTATTGGTAAAGCCAGAAACCATATTAAGAGAAACAAGTGATAGAGGTTGATTGATAAACACACTGACCTTGTCAGTTTTTCTTGCATTAGACACAGAACATACATTTTTCTTAACTTTCCTCAAGCATTTACATGAGCAATAATGAGTATGGGGTGAGAGAGAAAATACATTACAATTCAGAAGGATAATTTTAAATGACTTATTTATATTCATAAGGAAGTACATTAATCTGCAGATATTTTCCTTCTTCTGTATGCACTGTAATAATTGTATCAAATGCCAAGCCAATTTTATTATTTTTTAACATAAAATTTTAGTGGTGAAATAATACATGTCCCTAAGAAGTAGACTTAATAACTCGCAAAAATTAATAGTATTTCAAGTTGATCTTCCTCCAGAGTCTATTGATTTGCATTAGCTTCTTCCTATAATATCAAAATGATTAACATTTTCTTAAACAAACACAATATGTACTCACTGTCTCAGAATAATTGTTGCTGGAAAAAAAAGACAATGAATCCATTTAAATGAATATGAAAACTTTATACTAAATACTGAAAAAATGCTTTCACCTTAAAAAAAGGAAACAAAAACTATGAAAACAGAACTTTTACTTGTAGCTATGATAGGCAAATGGAGACTACATTTATTTTCTGCATTTAAAAAAAAAGCTAGACAAAGGGCTTGTTGTGCTGTTCAGTGGTACAGCATTTGCTTAGCATGCACAAGGCCCTTGGTTTTGTTCCTAGAGTGGCAAAAGAAAAACCAAACAACAAACATCACACTCCTAGAAAAACACAAACTACTTGAAACAAGTCTTTTAAGACACTGGGCACAAGATAGCACACAACTGTGAACACTGAGGTGGAGGGGAGGGTGTTAAATCTCTACTCGTTGCCTAGAAGTAATCTTCACACTTCAGCACAGACAGGGAAAACTCAAGGACTCTCATTAAAGTGAACAAAGAATGGAGTGCATAGATTCGTGGAGGCCAAAATAGCTAGAATCTATGCAGCAGAATATGAAAGAAAGGGGAGCCATTGAACGGAAGTGAGGAGTCCTGTGGAGGCATGTCCTCTGCTTTTTTGACTGAATACTGATCTGCTCATAGGTAAGAAGAAACCACACGAATTTGGCTGCAAAACTACCAGACTTGCGCAGGCACAGAGCAAAGGTCATATGAAGAGCCAGCAAGAGGGCAGCCACCTGAAAGACAAAGACTGAATCTTCACAGGAAACCAACTCCCTAATACTTTGATTTTTAATTTCCACCCTGGAAGGTTTAAAGTTGTGTTTTGAAGGAAATTTATAGTAGTAACTACTTTTATTAGAAATGAGAAGCCCATGATCTATGGTCTACCCTTAAGAAAAAAATTAAAGTGTTGATTTAATTCAAAATGAACAGAAGGAAAAGAACAAGAAGTATGAAAATAAATGACCTTATATTTAATAAAACTTGGATTGCTGTTAAAACCATAGTGTGGTTTTCATTAAAATGAAAAAGAAAGTAATTTTCTTTGTATACATTCTGTTACAGTACCTAATGGTCGTAAGGTATCCTTGTTTTCTTTGACAGGGCAATTACAGTTATATTTTTAGTTTATTTTTTAGGTTGGTCAGATTTTCTAAAATCTTGTAAATTCTGGATAATTGTCATTATTTTTAAAACATTTGTGATAAGTTTTTTTATTTTCTTAACAAAAGTTTATATTTTTTTCTGTGATTTAATGAGTTCCCAAATGTCACTTTCACTAACATAATTAAGTCCTACAACTTCTTCAGTATCTACAATTAATCTTTGCAATCCATTTGCACTAGATCACAACAGTCCAATGATGATCTGGACATCTATCTACAAAACTTCAGTAAGATTGATGGAGAGAGATTCAAGTACTTAGTGGAGAATGTCGTTGAATAGTAAATGCTATAAATTAGTTTTATAAATGTGAAATGCACTTCTGTATAATTTCCTCTTAACACTTGCTTTTCCACATAGATTTGAAAATGTGAAATTTCATATAGTTAGAACTTCTGTGCTCCAAAGAGAATATCACTTCTTGCATTATTGAGCCAGTAAGTTTTGAGTAACTTGTCCCAAGCTCGGGAGCAAACGTGAGAGGCCAAATCTAGATTTGCTTAATTTGTATTGATTTGAAAACTCTAGGAGGAAACAAAATAAACATAATCTCAAACATTTTACCAAAGTTAATCTTTTCTTCCTTTGCACAATGCACACGTTAAGGAGCTTAAAATATGATGCATATTATAATTACAAACAATAGAAGATTAAATTTGGGTTAGATATAAGTAATTCTCCAGCAAGTTACTCAAAACTAAGTAGTTTACAAAGCAAGAGTATATTTTTGAAAAATGAGTTATTAGTGCTTTTACTGTATTATAGCTAACATTCTGCAGCAACACAGTGAATATGAGAATTTCTTATCATGTCTCACTGCCAACCCCATCTTCCAAAAGAGACATGAAAAATAAGATTAGCAATCTTTATATGCCCTGCTGTAAAACTCACATTGTACTTCCACTCAGGAGATTTGGATTCAGCTCTGAATTCTGATTCATTAACTATACCTTTTAATGTCATTATCTTTCGGGGGTTGCACTTTTACTTGTAAAATAATGAGGAAGGCAGGGTCACTTCAAAAGTTCCTTCCCTTTCCATCATCATATAATGGCATCATGTAATTCATTTTATGAGTTTAACACAAAAGGAAGGAATCACTCTCGTATACACATGGAAAGTAAATTAACTTGTCTTTTTGGTTTGGGTAGGGCAGTATTTAAATGTGCATGCATGTTGGGCCAGTAATTCCATTTTAAGATTCTAATCTACTGTAATACTCTTACAGGAGAAAATCTATACAAAGATAGTGACTCTAGCACTGTTTATAGCAGTAAAGAACAAAATGCAACCTAAATACTCATAATTAAGGTGGCAATGGTCAGGTTATTCATATTTTATACTACTGTGAGGCAAAATTACATGGAAATTATCCATCATCAATATAAACAGTATCATTTAAAAGTAAGTCAAAGAATTGTAAACTGTAGATTCATTCAATTTTTTGTTAAAAAACTACAAGGTTTATATTTTTCAAGTGTATGTACTATACAAATATATGTATGTACATAAACATACAAATCTTTACATTTAGGAATATGTATTTACACTCATATACAAGCTTCTGTAAGAATATGTAATCAATTACCAATTGTTTCTTTTGGAACCTGTGAGAGACTGCTTGGGCCTGCATAAGAAGGCTGCCCTCAACCTTAGCCTTTGCCTCAGTGGAAAAATCCCACTAGACTACATACGTGACCTTTGGCAGGTCTAGCCCCTGGGCAAAACAGGAAATCTTACAGAAAAAATAGCCCTTTGTGCTAACCACAGGGTCACCGGATCTGGAGCAGGAAGCAGGTGGTATTTTCCCCGTCCTACTTGCCCCTAGGGATTGTGCACTTACCCCTCCCCACATTTGGTAAAATACTGATTGCTGTATGGTTAAATGCTTGAATGACTCATGTGATTGGTAGAGGATTTGCTTGAGCTGTCCAATAAGCTTGCTGAACCCTCCCCCTGGGATAACAGTATATAATCGTTTTTCTGAGCCAATAAAGCGCCTTTGATCAGAAACCAGACTTGGGCCGTGTACTCTAACTTCTTAAAGATTTCCTCCACAGACATTCAAGATCGGATCGGCCTCTGATGACCCACGAATAAGAGGCGGCTCTCACCTCCTATTCCCCGCGGGACGGGGTCCCCCCAGAGAGCCGCAGGAACCAGCAGTGTTGAATTTAAATTTTTACTCTATGTAGTATAGTAAATAATTGCCTACAGATTTAATAGTTGCTTTCTTAAAATTAAGAATTGATGTCCAGCATACAGTATTTTAAAAGATTTATTTATATGTTTGTCATCCTTATGTTATCTCTATATGGTCTTTCAGCAATTTATGTGTATACATTTAATCAAAATATTATATCTTAAATGTAACTTTCCATTTATATCATGACCACTGTCCAATTAATGAACCCTTAAGATATTGATCTATTCTTTTCCTAAGTATCTTATACAAAAGTACTTAAAAAATAACATCTTCAAAAATAAATAATGGTCTTCAGGTGCTTATCCTAGAAAAAATACACAAAGTAAAGAACTGTACAAAATTTCAGGAATGGATGATGCACATTTACTCTTAACTAGCTTTGTTGTTTCAAGAAAAAACAAACTACCAAATAAGCATGCAAAGTCATTCTAAAACATGATCAGTGTAACAAACAAGAATTCTTACAAACCAACAAAAAAGCAAGAATCTCACTCCCATTTCCTTTAAGTGATTCTCTACTGTCTAGGGCTTTGGTTTCAAAATTGAACAGTCTCACCAAAGTTTTTTGCAATGTACTATGAAGACCAATAAAAGAATGCTTATCAGTGGACACTGAATGCCATTAAGGGAACATGTTGGTGCTGCGTAGCAAGAGTCAGATGAGGTTATAAACTATAGGTATATGATTTTGGAGAAAGATGGGAAAAGAATATAGTCAAAATTGGGTTGACATCATTTACTCCCTGCAATTCTCCCTCACTAGCACCCAGAATGTTACAGAAGATCTCTGCTTTGTAAACACTCCTCTTCATCACAGAAGTTCCTCCTGGGAAGAGAATGCTACAGAACTGGTTTCAAACACAGCTGCAATCTGAAGTGTGTGTAACTTTAATTCTTTTAAATTTTGCGTCTTGAACTCCACTTCATAACTTCTAAAACAAAATCTTTGAAGGTAGAGCCAGGCGCCATCTTGAAACTGTGATCCTTTCAGTGTAAAAAAAAATTTTTTTTCTTCATCTAAGAATCTAGGGAGATTCTTCAACACTTGTCATCTAATATGCTGGCATGTGCACTTACAATCAAACATCCTTTGATGTTTGTTAAAATATATTTTTTAAATTGTGAATTGTTTACATTCATATGCTCATACTGACATTTCACTAAAGAATGGTGATATATGATGGTGGCCCCATCTGACTATATCACTGCACTCACTGCCAGGTGTATAAAAGTATAGCACATACGATTTTGTTTGGTACATTGTATGTGGTAAGGATGATAAACAATTATGTTAGTAGGTTAAGTATTTGCTATATTATACTTTTTGCTGTTATTTTAAAATGTCCTTCTACGTGTTGAAAATTGTTTAGCATAACATGGTATGCTGCATTACACCAGCAGGACCTTCACAGATCTCCTGTTTGCTGTGAATCTTAATTACATCCTTTTCTCTTGATGTTGATTTAAACTAGTGTTGATTGTTCAGCAGACAACAATAACTCCTAGAAGCAGTAAGCTATTCTTTATGTGTATGCAATTATGTACATACATAAATATAGATGCTATATGTATAATACACTGTACAGTATAGGTATATAGTAGGCAATACCATTAGCTTTGGGTAAGTTTGCTCTATGATGATTATATGGCGATGAAATCGCCTAATGATATACTTCTCAGAACATATCTGTATCATCAACTGATGGTACACACAATTTACCATGGTAATCCAATTCAGAAGAAAAACAACCCAGGGCCCTTATGTTCACAGGTGAAATCATGCATGTGGATTTGTGTCACAGGATGATTAATTCAGCAATAAAAGCATAATCAGTTCAAATGTAAAAATACATTGAATATTGATAGATTTCTGGAATAATAAAACAGAAATACAAGTTCAAAAGAAAAAATACAATGTACAATTTCCAAGTGCTAATGAGGAACCTGTTTGTGCATTTTTACAATAAATAATGTTGATTCTGAGAAGCTATGATATTTATATTCAGGTACTATGTTTAAAGGAGTTAGTTCAACTGTAAAATGCCAACATCTGCAGTATGCTAGAAATATTTTTCAACCATTTAAACTTATGATGAAACTATTTACATGTAAATTTGAAAAGCTGAGATGGGCATATAGTTTCCAAAATCCTTTTAGAATTCTTTTACGTCACTGCTCTGAACTGCAATAATTTTTCAGGAGATGAAGGGGTTGGCCAGTGCGTGTCATAAAATAAATGCTTTTGTTTAAACAGTAATTTATTCATATCATACATATGTAGTCTTGATATAGTTTCCAAAAAGAAAAATTATGTTTGGAAGTATTTCTGGTTTTAGACTTCATATTACAATGAAAATATTTTTTAATTAATAGATTATGATAATAAGGTGTGAATATTTAATTTTTAAGTATATACACTGCTATATGTATAGGAGAGGTTGCCTCTTTGCCAATATGATTTTGAAAAGCTTTTCCATACATATGCTGTGGGAATGAATAACTATTTTTAAATGAGTCTACCTAAATTGAACAGTAAGAGTCTCTGTCATAAAAATTTTACAATTTCTAAGGCCAATTTAATTACTTGGCATTGCACATATGTAGGGTGATAACTTGTTTTTTCTTTTGATTGTAAAAGAGTATTTAAATGACTTTGTAATTTGTAAATTTATTGTGAATTCGTTTTTAAACACTGTATGTGTTGATTCTGTAATATTTCAATTTGATCATTAGCCACATGTTAAATATTTTTGAACTATAGTACTTACCCTCTGTTATATTTTGCTATTTCACCAAACAGAAGTCTCCACCGAGGACGTCCAATAAAGAGTCGTGAATTCAATGCATGGTATTTTTCTCCAATTATCTTCTGCCAAAATGAAAATATATTTTATATGGCTTAGATTTGAATGCACAACTCATTTCTCTAACATCAGTTTTGTTGGTGCTATATCTTCTTATCAAATCGCTGTGACAGAATGCATCAAATGGAAACCTATTAAGTAGAATGATTTAAAAGTATCATTTCCTTCTTTTCCTTTAAAATCCACTGTCTTCTTGAATGCCAGTTTTACAAATGGCTGATTTTCCTAGACTTTAGTTAGTTGCTTTATTTAAAAAAAACAAAAAACAAAAAAAACCTGCAACGTATGATGGAGAATGCTTTCTATTTAGTCACCCACTCTCAAAAGGCTCAGCACATAAATTTCACTGAAGTATTTCTGCACCCAAATTACAGTTGTCATATTTGACTTATTATATCAGTAAATTGGTACAAATTATCATCATAAATTTGGGGAAACAATCCCAAAGAAGACAGCTGGAGACAGCAGAGTTCCAAATGTGTTTGACTCCATCAATAAATGACTGTTAGTGGCCAAGTATTTGCAATTAATAGAACATTAGATTTGAATCCACAATGAAGAATCAAAATTTAAGGAGATGAGAGGAGAAAGTGAGTTTCAGGCATATAAACTGAGTATCAAATATAATTTTACTCTTTAATTTAATTATAATGATACCATAAGGAAAAATGGTACTGACTTAGTTCATGAGTGTGGAGAAATAAAATAGCATTTAACATTGCAAATAAGGTGGAAATCTGACTCAATTTGAGGTAACTGACAAGCATCCATATTTTTATTCAAAAGATTGTGAAAATGAATAATGGAAAAATCCTATTATAAAATCTGTAAAGCATCCACACACAGATTTATCACTTTCTGCAGCTCTTAAATATTGTCTTTAAATAGTTTCATCTGCAAAATGGGGACAGTAACATCAACTGCTCAAATCTGTTATGATCACACCACAAGGTAATGCATGCGAAAACTAGTGAGTCTAGCAGAGTAAAAATAAATAACACACAATGGCTATTAATTTTTCTAGGAATTAACTATTCTTAATTGTACAGGACTCATCACTCTCCAAATATAACCTCTTATCGATGAAAAACATCACAAGGTTGTACACTGATAGACACATTATAGTCCACAGACGATAAACTTGAAGCAACAGTGGAGAGTGACGAGAGGGACTGAAAAGGTCTGCTGCAGCCTGTGCAGAGGCAGACAACTGAAAGGCAGAAGAAGTTTGGCTGCAAGGACAAGCCAAGAGTTTTCTGGACGGATTCCAAAGGAGGCTTTCCTGTAGGAAACTCCTACTCAAGCCACCTGCAGAACTTCTCCAGCAGAGCTCCTACAGTAAATCTTCTGTTATCATGAGGCTCATTGAATTAACAATAACATCCAAGTCATACCTGAATCCCATCTGTCTGACTAAGGTACAGCTGGATATTGACATAGTCAGGTCTGTTCTCTTGCCAAAACTGAGAAGACAAAAATGAATAAACATTAAAATTCTTTCTATAGACCCAGGTTTTCTTCTATTCTGACACGCATGATTCTATAATTTAACACATAGCTTTGCTCAGCATGAACATTTAAAGCCAATGAAATGTGTATGTATATTTATGAATATGTATGTAGTATATTTATGTATATATGTATATAAACTGAGGACAAATTTTAACGTGAATAACTTGTCCTGCCTTACTGATAAAAATTACTTATAATGACAGTCATGGAAATAGAGTTCTATCTTTATTGAAACAGAAGTTATTGTTTTACTATTCATCTAAGTCCTTTCTAAATGTTCATATTTTATTCCATAAGGATCTCTAAATTTCACTTTAGGAGTAGACTACTCACCAAGAATATAAGTTTCTTTTACAAAAGACAACACTGATATAGGATACAAATGCTAAAAATCCAAAACAGAACAAAAATAAAAATAAATACTATATATTTTTCTTAGACCTGCTTTCTACTTATTCAGCACTGATTTTCCTTATGTAAAAATGTATGAGGCAAGAAATATACCTGCAAAAATAAGCATTTTGGAAAAACACATGGAACAAGCTTCTATTTCTTTCCTCTCTGCACTCTGACAAACACCATTCTAGCTTAAGTCACTATGAGTTAGATTTCTGTAGTTACCACATAAGTAGGGATCATGTAATACTTTCCTGTGTGTCAGCTTAACTCACTTGGATTCAAGGTTCATCTGTGTGGTAGGGTGTGTCAGACTGTCTTTCCTTTTTAATGAAATGCTATGCTCACACCATATTGTGTTTATTCATTCATTAGCTAATAGAAAATGAGATTGTTTCCAGTCTTGGTTGTTGTGTAACCATCTATGGACACCAATATACACAAATCAATTAAATTCCTTGCTTTTGCCTTTAGTTTGTACCCTACCTCTCCTACTTATGATATAACACTGAAGAGATCACAGACTCGGTTTTATTTTGCAACATGATGTATTTTCAGCTTGTAAAACAGTTCCTGATTCACAGTAGTCTGTAAATAAATACTTGATGAACGATAGCACCACTGACTGAATGAATTTCTGCACAAAGGGGGCTGTGCAATGATTCACCTCAGCACTTTTGTAATAAGGAAATATCCACTGTGAAGGAATTGCTAAATCAACTCGATATACCTATACAATGAAATTTTCTATTGCAGTAAAAAGAATGAGATAGCTCTATGTTTGATAATACAATAAAGACTCAAGATATAGCAATACACTTATGAAAGTAATTTGAAGAAAAAATAAATATTGTAATAGGACACTCATAAGACAACTGGTTACACAGACTTGGTAGGAATATTAAGAGAGATTTTACTTTGAATTGCTTGCAGTATCTGTGGCAAAGATGCATATGTGCATTACTTGTATAATTTGAACATAAAGATAACTAAAGTAAATTGTATAGGTATGATAAGTGAAAAATATCCACTTTTATCTCAATAAAAAAGAATTTGGGATTTTTGAGTTGCTATAATGTTTCAAGAAGTCTAATATTTTACTGGTGATATTACATACTAAATGAGTGTTTCTATTTTAAAGTATATTACAGAAATACACACATACAAATATATGAAAGTGATATAAGCCTAATTATTAAGCAATTTAATTTCATTTTCTATATTTAAAAAAATTTTATTCTACATCAAGAATGTATTGCTTTTATAATATAAAATAAAATATTTTTAAATAAAAGTTGCAAACTAAAAAAAGTCTTCGTATTACCTTGTTATACAGCATACAGAGTAAGTCTGCAAACCAATGGAAGGACTGGATGTCTCTACACACCCAAATAAAGTACAGTCTTCTCAGCTTGTATGGTTTCCAGTCATCTCTTAAAAGTTAAAATAACATGGTAGCGATTAGCATAGTAAAAAAGTTACAGAATTCCTATATTCTTGAAGATTAACTTCTCATTAAAGTAACCAGTAGAACAACTAGTCAAATTCTGGCACCTGATATAGTACTTGTTATTCTTCTCAAATAAACGCAATGTGCAATGTACTAATTCAAAGACATGGTATACATTAAGTGTTTTTACTTGTGAATGTTATATGAATAGCACCCATTTTCATCTGAAGACCACAAACTGAACTTTTGATTCAGAATAACACTGGCCCTTGCATTTCAGAAAAATAAGTTTTGTATTTTCAATAAATTCTACCACTGAGCAGGGATCCAAAGGTCATTTGGTCTTGTCCTTACTTTGAGGCAAAATGAACCAAAATCATTCCAGAAACTTGGTTGTTTACCTCCTTTTTAATAATCATTAAGGAAAAAGATTTCACAACCACATAATATGTAATGCATTCCAGACACTCTTAATTCCAAGTCTGGTTTCCTATTTATAACTGAGTAGACTTGAGGTTAAGAAAAGGTTCCTCCTTTTTCATAACATTAGATGGCTAAATAATTTGTCAGAAACAAATGATTTCTGGCTTAGAACAAGGTTATTTTTGTAAGAACCTTCAGAAAGTCTTGAAATCACTCTACTATTTAAAAATGAAATAAACGCAATTAATACACATTGCTTTGACTTACTTCTGTTTTTTTGCATAGAATATTTCTTTCTGACCTTCAATTTCTATTTTTACTTTTCTCATTGAGTTTATTGGTACATTTTAGGTATACAGTACAGTTACATTCACCATTGGGATCGTCTACCTTTACATGACAGGTCTTGGTTCTCATTTTTTCCCCTTGTCCCTGCACTCCCTTCACCCCCTCCTCCCTTCCCTATTTACAAATACTTTATTTCCATTTTTTCACTTTCTCATGTATTTTTTCCTTTTCCCTTATTACCTTTCCCTACCCTTCCCATTTCCCCTTCTTTTTTGATAGTCTATAAACATATTTCAATATAAATTGTGTTTATCCCATTCACATGAAACTTTCTGCTGTCAGTGTGTTTGTATTTTTAAGACAACCCATCAACTTGTTATTTATTATCCTGGAATTAAAGTACTGTAAGAGTGTTTCCTAGTTAGGTAATGTCACCTTTGAAATTTACTTTCTTCAGTCTATTGTAAATTTGCTAAGGAATAAACCAAGAAGTGATGTATTTATCTGTCATCTCAAAAGCTTTGCCTGAACCTGTGTCTACAATACTGATCCTTTATTTCTATGTCCTATTATTCTGCCTTCTTTTCCTCACAGTTCTAATATTCTCTGAAATAATTCTTTATGAATTCTTCACTGTTTTTTACATGCCAAATTCGAATCTACACTTTTTAAATGACATACAGCAAGGTGTTGAGTACTGATGCAAATGGAGTAACTCCAATTCCTCCAGCCACGCAGAGGCTGACCTCGTAGTTGAGTGACTCCTCAAATGGACTTCCAAATGGACCATCAATGTATACCCTGTAGTGAAGGCAGACAAAGGTTGGAAAACTCAAAATAATTTAAATTGATTTTCTATAGTATATATTAAATACAATGAATTCAACTTCTAAGTAATGTGATGGGTCAGGCTTTATTTTATTTTTTCTCACAATGATAAGCCTAAAGGAATAAGAAACATTATTTATGAACTGTTGCTATCAAAACAAGCACACATGTTTGTCAGAATACCTTTTCTGAAAGAAATTTTAATTCAAGTGTTGGGAAATAAAATCACACTGAATAGGTGGGAAGCTCTGATCATGTTGTATTAATGTAACTGACCAATTCAAACACTCACTGATTTACTATGTTTCATTGAATAGTATTCCCTTCAATGGCAAAGACTGTAGCAGGATTATTTACTTACATATTTATTATGGGAACAGAAAAATAATAGGAATAAAAAAATGATCTAACACTCTCTCCCCCTCACTCCAGCTAGATTATAAGTATAAAAACAACTGAAGAACAATAACAAATCTAAGCTGTACTTATTCTACATATATTCAAATACATAGGTGTGACTTTTTAAAAATTTCTTTTTATACTTTTTTATACATGCTAGGAAACCTGTCTACCTCAGAGCTACACCTATACCTCTTTTTAAATTTTATTTTGAGACAGAGTTTCATTAAATTGCTCAAACTGGTTTGAACCCATGACCCTCCTCCTGCCTCAGCCTTCCAGGTAGCTAGGATTATAGTTGTATATCAACGTATCTGGCTTGAAGTCTTTCTTAATGCAACAGAAATTGCTAACTGATCACTTAGTAGTCATCCTCCCTTTTCTTAGTAACAGAAGACTAATTTTATTCAGGAAAGCAAGGTGTCCAGCCAAAACACTATATGTCTTAGATTCCATTCATGTCTTTGGGCTGTGTCTATGTTTTGGCCAATATGGTATAAATGGAAGTGAAACTGGAGAAACTGAGTGGGTTCTTTGGAATAAGCTGTCTCTGAGATGAAAGTTGTACATCCTTATCCTTTATATTTTTTCCTCCCTAGTGCCTGGGATGTTGACTTTATAGTTTATCTTTTTTTGGTACCAGGGATCAAATTCACATGCGAGGCAGGCAGTGGTACCACTGAGCTAAATCCCGGCCTATCTTTGATAACTGTAGAATCATCATAAGGACAAGACATAAAAATCAACACATAATGCATAGAAGACACTGCCATTTTACTATTTTATAACCAATATAAGAATAATTTTATTAAAAACTAATGACATTTCAAAAAACTACACATGTCTGGTAAGCCTTATAATATGCATCTTCTTTATGGTTAAGAGCCATAAATAGATTATGCATCTGCAGGCTTAGTATTCAGTGCCTGGTAAAAGCTTGTTAAATGAATTAACAAATGGACATTCCTTTGGAATCTGACATTTAGTCTGTGTTACAACCAGTCATTGGTAAGATCTAATTTTCTCTCATTGACTCTGGAGAGCAACTTCACAGGCTTCTGAAGTTAACGTTAGTTCATATGTCCGGTTCACACCAATGGGCTGTCACTTCCGGAATGGGGTAGGGAAATGTTATTTTCCTTCCATGGGGACCAAAAACTGTTAGTTGAACCAGAAAAGAGGAACACTGAATCCTTGAAGTGCTCTTATTAAAGGACACTGTCCTAGGGATCCACTGGACTCACAGATAACACAGCACAAGCAAGAAATATATCTGGTATTTGTTTCATCACATTTTCAGGGATGTTCCAAAGTTAATGTGTTACTGAAGCAGAATTTAGTCTATCATGATGAATACATGTGCATTATGTATTTAATTCTTACAGGGAAACCTGCAAGAGTGTTAAAGTAATATATTTACTAGAAAAACATAGTTCTTTTACTTCAAGGAACAAAAAACACAGCTGATATGTTTAATGAAATGATGCAAACACATCAGAAATTCAGTTAAGTACTCAAAGATCACACAATTACAAAATGTACAATTCTTTTTTGGGGGGGTACAGGGGATCAAACTCAGGACCTTGTGCTTGTGAGGCAGGCAGTGGAACCACTGAGCTAAATCCCCAGCCCCTCAAAATGTACAATTCTTAATGAATACATTTAATTCACATTTTAAAGCTCACTCAATTAAACGTGTACTTTGGGTCAGCTATTTGTGTGATGCTAGTTTTGATTAAAAAATAAAAATGACATCATATATGCCATAAAGAATTTTCTTTGTGAGTTTGAACTACATTGAACTACATGTACTATATTCTTTAATGAATACAGATGCAAAAATTCTCCATGTGATCCTGGAAAACAGAATGTAGCAAATCATCAAGTAGGATACATTCCAGACATGCAGGGATGGTTTAACATACACAAAGCAATAAGTGCAATACACCATATAAACATGCATGTTTATCTGAAAACCGCACTAAATGGGTTAGAAGTAAAATGAATTACATCAATGCATTGATCTTTTTTAAAAGCTGAAACCTTAAAATTTTCATTGATATAACTGATACATTACTGACCAACAAAAAATAAGAAGGAAATGAACACCACCTCTTTCCTACTTCTCTGCTTTCCAATAAACACCCTCCCCACTCCCTACATAGATTTTCTTCGGTTTAAAATAATTTGTATTCAAAGACTAGAACTTGGACATTTTTAGACATTTACAAGAAGCAGGGTCACAGACAAGTTACTTTTCCTCTCAAAACTTGATTTCCTTCATCTGTAACAGGGTCAACAATACATTTCGATACAGAAAAACTCCTGCTAAGAATTACGGGGTCACAAATATCATGCAATGACCGAATGCCTACAGTGTCCCTTCAAGCCACATGAGATTAGACAGATGGAAAATGTAGATGGGAATTTTATTTGAAGAATCTTAGAGGACCAGCTGCTTTTCACTTGAAAAAGAAAGAAGATAAAATTACTGCTGATTTATTACTCAGCCACTACTAGTTTTTCTGAAGGAAGCAGAAAGAAATGAAAATGATCGCAGTCATTTTTTACATATTTGAGTGGACTAACGTACAAAATACATTGCCTTACAGTTACAAGCAATTAACTTATTTTAGTACCTGGACTTTAAAAGAATGTTTTGTTATTATTGTATGTGACAAGATTACAGAAATAGAAAGAAACTAATTTCTAACTTCTAACAGCGTAGTTCAGATGAGATCAATTTGATATTTTTATACGTCTATTGATAACTAATAAAAGTACTCTTTCTTAAAGATTCCAAGAAAGTTCTAAGGCAAAGAGATATTCTTTTCCCTCCAAAATACATAAACATATTTTGAAATTTTAATAAGTTTTTCCTTAAAAACTTATTCTGAAAGCAGAATCCATTAATATTTTCTAAATTGGATTGTTTTACCGAGTGTGAGTTGATTGTACAGTTATATACAGTTCTTCTCTCTAGAGAAAATCATAGGCTGAAAGGAAATTAAACTATGTTAAAGATCCAAGCATTAGCTAGATATGATGGCACATGTATGTAATCCCAGGCTGAGGCGGGAGGATGGCCTTGAGTGCAAGGCCAGCCTGGGCTGCGCAGTGAGTTCAAGGCCAGCCTAAACTATATAGGGAGATCCTGTCTCAACAAAAATAAAATGTGTAGCTGATAGTTTTTAAATCCTGTCTCCTAACATTTGCTACCACTCCCACCCAAAAAACACCAATATTATAAACACTAAAATAGGCAACATGAGGCGAAAGTTAATTATAACTTTAAGAAAATATCTTCATATTTTAAAAATAGGTACTAATTATACCAGTACTGCTAAAGAAAGTTTTACGAGAACAATGGTATAAGAGGAGAGGAAGTATGTCCTGGTGAAATAAATTTGGAAAATCTATTAAACAAACATGTTAATTTTAAAAAAATTTTAAAGGACCAGTAATACAATACTCCAGATTTGAGGGTGGTGTGATAGGAATGCAGCCACATAAGAGAAGAAGGGAGAACTACATTTTCTAGCCTTTCTTACAAAGGGTAGTGACAGTTTAGTGAGATCGAGTAGCATTTTGTTCTGGGTTTCTGAGGACCTCCTGTAAAAGGAGGCCAACTCAGCTACACACATCTCTCCTGTCCTTGGGCCCCACTCACAAAAGCAGGCACAAAGTACAAAATTCTTCTTCCAGAATAATCTTGCAAACACATCCTATTGCTCCCAGCTATCTCTATCAGGCCAAAGATCCCTCTAGCTTGACAGGAGTGATGAATTAAAACAGCCCACAAGGTAAAGATTTCCCCTGCCCTAAGGCAAGACACTGTGGTAAAGGGAAACACTGAGCTGGTAAGGATGTTGCTGGTGAGGATTCACTTCTTTTTGTAAAGGCCATTTGCTAGTTAGGTGTACTAGTACATAACTATACTCTCAGCACTCTAAAAGACTTAGGTTTACAGTATACTTACACTGGAAGACAGTTATATTCATATCCTTATAAATGTGACTTGGATGTACAAGGTGGTTGTAGACATTTTGCATAATTTTATTCACATGCAACAATTTGGCAGGTAAGCCAAAAAAACACAACCCAGCAGCACTCAAAAGTTTAATAAAAATGTGTGCAAAAATATTGTGAAAATAAAATATTTTTTCTTTGCAAAGATCAGTATCAAGTTCTCTGAGATGCCTAGTATCAGAACTGGTAGAGAGAAGAATATTATTCATGACAAAATTTAGAACTGTTTTTCTTTGGCTTGGTTTGTTGCCAAAGAATAACGGTGGTTGTTTGGACAACATGAACAGTGTTCCAAACCAATCTCACTTCCAACTGGCTGCTTACAATTGGTTTCAAATGGTGATGTTGGGTAATATCCTTAAACTGCAAAGCCTCATATGACCTTTCCAGATTTTCCCTATTCTCCAGATTATTTTGCTTCTTCCCTAACACTGAAGAAGAGATACCCTCACTCCCTTCAGTAATTTTTGTTCAATATGTGTATATTTAATGTACTTGGTCCTGAGCTAAGTTATCCTTATTCACAATAACAAAGAAATAATAATAATGTGTACTGAATGCTCCACATACCAGAAATTGTGATATATACTATATATGCATTATTTCATTTAATCTTTACTATACTGCTATGAGTTAGGAAGTTTTATGTCCCCACTTCTGTAGATTAGAGGGCTGAAATGTGAATAAATAATTCTCTCACCCAACATCACTTGGCACAGTTGGGTCTCCAACCCAGAACTCTTTGTCCCAAATTATACTCAACTCTCTTACACTGTCTCATTTACTCATTCAGCCAGTCTTCAATTGACTCATTAACCAAGTACTTAACAAATAGCATAAGCAGTTACAATTACTGAAAATACAAGATCAGGGCATAATAAAACGGCTTTGAGGGACCTAGTATCCAATTAGGGAAAAGAAAAATCAGAGTTTTGTGGGTAAATAATAGCAATGTGTTCAGACCTACACATAGAGAAATGAACTAAATTCTACAGGAGAATAGAAAATAAAGAGGCCACCTAAGTTATTTATGTTGTTAATTTTTCCTTGAATAAAATTAACAGTTGAAGAGGATTTTAAGACAAAACTGATAGCGTAACAACATGTAGAGCCATAAAAATTCAGAGGTAATAGAGGGGTCATCATCAAGTGACCAAAAACTCTGTGTTTGTGGATGCACACACATGCCTGTGAATGCACCTATACAAAAGCACACTTAAGGGGTTGAAGTGCAAAGAGAAATGAAGATAGAGCCATGTTCTGAAGGGCCAGAATTGACTTTTACAAGAACTTGTATTTTGTTGTGAAGTCAGTGGAGAACTGTAAAGGAGAAGATTAGACCTACATTTTCATAGATTTATCACAGAGCCAGAGAGGAACATGAGGTAACACATGATACCAGCCCATTTTCTAGCTGGCAATTTTCTGTTAGGGTAGGGAAGCAATAAATTGTTAATTGTAACATGAAAGATTATATAGGTGTCAGAAGGCACAATCAACAGAATGTAGTGACGCTGTTGGATTAGTAGGAAGGCTGATGAGAGAAATGGAAAGAGGAGCTTTAGGTGATTTTAAGCTTTTTCATTTGAGTGCACTCCGGTCTACTGTCCTCATGATTGGGGATGAGTATAAGTCTCTCTGAGCATCTTTCTGGTTATCTTTTTCTTTTGCTTCTTTTTTTATTTCTCATTGAATTTATTCATACTTTTTAGATATACATACAGTACAGTTACATTCATCATTGGGATCTTGTACCTTTACGTGATAGGTCTTGCTTCTCACTTTTTCCCCATACCCCCGCCCTCCCGCACCCCCTCTTCCCTTTCCTATTTACAAAAACTTTATTTCCATTTTTTGTTTTCTCATATTATTTCTTTTCCCTTATTTCCTTTTCCCTGCCCTTCCTACTTCCCCTACACCTGTAACCCTTTTCTTCCTATCTCACATTGTCAGTTATACCATTTGGATTTTATTTACACTTTTAGTTTTTCACACCAGAGAAACTATTCAGTATTTACACGTGTGACATTTATTTCACTTAAGAGTATGACGTCAATTGTGCATCCATTTTCCTATGAATGACTCTAATTTCTCATTCTTTGTGGCTGAGTAGTACTCCATTTTATAGAAAAACCACATCTTCTTTATCCAGTCTCAAACTGATGGGCAATTGGGCTGAATGAAAATAATGATGATACCTTTCCTTTTATTGTTGCTTTAAGGTTACCATAGTGCCTGGCACAATTCTACCTTGTGCAGCTTTGCTAAATGGAAATAAATATGAAATAAAACCCCTGGCTTGTGTGCATGTGTGTGTGCATGTGCATGTAAGTGCGTGTGTATTTGTGTGTGTGTGTAACTGGAGATTGAACCCAGGACCTTTACATGGAGCTACAGCCCTACCCTCCCCCAATTCTTTTTTTTTTTTAAAGACATTCCTGTTAAATCTCTAAATTGCCTAAGTTGGATTCAAACTTGTGACCCCTCATGCCTCAGCCTCCCAGAGTGCTGAGATTATAGTCATGTACCAGTACACCTAACTAGCAAATGGCCTTTACAAAAAGAAGTGAATCCTCACCAGCAACATCCTTACCAGCTCAGTGTTTCCCTTTACCACAGTGTCTTGCCTCAGGGCAGGGGAAATCTTTACCTTGTGGGCTGTTTTAATTCATCACTCCTGTCAAGCTAGAGGGATCTTTGTTTGGCCTGATAGAGATAGCTGGGAGCAATAGGATGTGTTTGCAAGATTATTCTGGAAGAAGAATTTTGTACTTTGTGCCTGCTTTTGTGAGTGGGGCCCAAGGACAGGAGAGATGTGTGTAGCTGAGTTGGCCTCCTTTTATAGGAGGTCCTCAGAAACCCAGAACAAAATGCTACTCAGTCTCACTAAACTGAACTCATGGTCATTACCCTTTGTAAGAAAGGCTAGAAAATGTAGTTCTCCCTTCTTCTCTTATGTGGCTGCATTACTATAACACCACCCTCAAATCTGGAGTATTGCACTACTGGTCCCTTAAAATTTTTTTAAATTAACATATTTGTTTAATAGATTTTTCAAAGTATGGATATTCTTCAAAGAATTTAAATTAGAAATTCCATATGATCTAGCTATCCTCCTGCTAAGTATCTTCCCCAAAGAGTTTAACTCAACATATTACAGTGATAATTGCATTCCAATGTTTATAGCAGAACAATTCATAACAGCTAAATCCTGGAAGGAGCCTGTATAACCACCAACAGATGATTAGATAAAACAAATATGGTACCTATATATAAAGGAATCATACTCAGCTACGAAGACTGACAAATCTGAGATATCTGTAGGAAAGCGGATTCACCTGGAAAATACAATATTGAGTGAAATAAACCAGACACACAAGATTACATACAGTATGGTATTTCTCATTTGAGTGAGGCAAAGCACAAACAAGGAAAATGCTACTGAATGGATACAAAGGGTGAAAGGGCTAGATCTCTTTTAATAAGGAAATAGTCCAAAGAAAGAAGGGTGAAGGAGGAGGAGGATGGAAAGGGAAATAAGACTAAAGATGCGCCACGTAACCCCACCTAGTGTAAACAAGATAGCCATAACAAGAACCAAGACAACTCTCTCCACGGCCAAACCACCTCCCTTCTGAATTCCCAGAGAAGCCTTGTAGCTTACTTGGGATAATTTCTAGATTGAATGAAGGGCAGAATCTCAGAGTCTTGACTAGACGGAGGCAGGAGCAAATCTCGGAATCGTTCTGCCAAAAGAAAAATAAATAACAAGCTATGAAAAGAAAAAAGTCATGAAAATATTTTTGGTAGAATTAGTTCCTAGTTTTATTTTAAGCCCTTTTGACAGTATGTCATTTATAAAAAACCCACCACCATTTATATACTACTAAAATATGTCTGTCTCCAAGAATCTATATCTATTTTTCTGATTAGAATATTTAAGTCCCTACAAATATGAAAAAGAGTAAGTATTCATTAGTATAAACTAATAAAAACCTATAATTGATGAGTTAGATAAAAGATATATGACCAACAAACATACTGAGAGACATGATCTCATTAATCTTAGCAATGCTCATGAAAACCATACAGACCACTGGATAGCTTTCAAATTATTATCGATATATGAGCTAGGTAGAAATGTTATAGGCAGTCAGATAGGGTTGGATCCTCAAGAGGGTCAGGACAAAGGTGAAACACCACAGCTGCACCACACGTCTCATCAGCTGAAAAGCAGGCCTAAAGATGACTTCGAGATGACACATGTACATGCTTTCTCAAAGAATAAACCCTGGGCCTAATGAAGTCTAGAGAGACATCAACCACCCTGGGGGTGACCAGAGGCCTCTGGACCCAGCACTTCCTAAGAGAATCTTTGTTCTTTCCACCCACACTTGTTACGTGACTTGTTTCCCAGTTGAACCAATATTACCTAAGTGACTACACTTGTAACCTCACTGGATGTTCATGGCTGTGGCCCATGTTGTACTCCCTTGCATTGCACCCTATAAAACTTCTCCATAAAGTAAAGCTCTCAGGCTACTCACTTGAGACCCCTCCTGCCCCTCAGGAGTTTCTTATCAATAAATATATTCCTACTCTTAACCTCCAGTTGTTCCTAGGACTCATTTTTGGCTTCTAGAAAACAGGAACTCAGTGTACCATACAGTTAATAGTTTGGAGATATAATATTTCATATTTTACCTCCGGTATTATTTCTTGTAACATTACATAGCATTCAACTCTCAGAAATTAGCCTTATAAGATCAAGTGTTAGAGATGACACTTCCTTATACATTCTTCTACCTTTGCTAGCTGGAGTGCAAACTGGTACAATAGCTTTGAAAAACAATTTAGCATTATCTTTCACATTTAACCTTTGTAAACATTATTGCATATATATATATATACATATGCAAATTTCACATGCTTCCTAGGCAGCAAATGAGAGAATATTCACAGCTCTATTCATTACAAAGTAAATGGGAAGGACTCAAGTGCCAAATATCTTTAATGAGTTAAAAAAAACAGCAAAATAATTATTTATTTAAGTTTGAAAATAGAAATGATACTTACAACACAGGAGTGTAGTCACTTTTTCGAAGGAGAAGAAAGATGAAATAGAGAATCAAAGGGTGGGTACAGATGACTACTAATTTTTCCTATGTTAATATAGTATCGTAAATGAATGAATGAACGAGGGTGCTACAGGAGCGAAATGACGGCAAAAGAAGACAAGTCAAGAACTTGATTAGTGAAATTCAGTACAGATGGGTCTGTAAGGAATGGGGGTAAGGGAGGAAAAGTAAAGACAGGGAGGAAGGAAAGGGAAAACAAAGGAAGGGAAACGGGGCATGAAGTGGGGGAGAATCCTCAGTGTTGCCTTAGAAATATTTATATGGCATAACTATTTACATCCATAGAGAAATCTGTCACCCTAATACTGATTCCGTATATCCAGGACAGGGTATTCATTAGCTTTATAGTCAGCCCTATGGGAAGGCTTCCTTGATCCTTTCATATTTTCTCTCTTCATGCCAGATTTGGGATAAGTGGCCCTGTAGTGTATTCATAATTCACCACACTGTTCTTATTGTTACATGTATTTGTCTATCCACTGCCCACTCTTCTAGTAGATTTGTATTTTACTCCAAGAATGCAGAACACTATCTGATATACACTAAGATGTTAGATAAATTTATTTTTTGAAAGAATATTTCCAACTTTCCTTATTACTGGTCAGAAAACTGTCTGCCAATGTAAGTACTCGTGTTCCACAGAAGAAACCAACTTGTCATACAGCAACAGGAAAAGAGAACCTGGACTGTAGGCTTGAGAGAAACTCACAACCAAGGTGAGGTAGAATGCAAAGCCAAAAATCCCTTGCAGAAGTAAACCAATCCATCAAAAATGGATGGTGAGCAATTTCTACAGAATCCTAAGAAACCTACACATGATGACAATTGTTATTTCCTAGTTATTAAATAGTTAGATACTAAATCATTTGTGGGCATAGTGGTTACAAAGTATTAGTAAGACACAGAGTGCATCGTTTATCTTCATATTAATTAAAACACACTGACTCAGAGATATTTAACTGGCTTTTACTCCAATTTTCATTTTGGCCACATTAGCAGTGCTCGAAATACACTCAGAGAGGAGCTAGTAAGATCCCAAACCAAAAATAGTTGTACTCCCAAGACCAGTGGTCCAAAACAGCACGGTATAATTTTCTCTATCTTTACAGAGTTCATATTTTAAAAATCAAGTTTATTATCGACTGATATACCATGTTTAATCTATAAAACTGCTATTTATTTCAATGAAATAACTAGTAATTTCAATGATGTATGACCCTTGCTTTTCAGTCTTTTGCTCTTTATTGGCACCTACTCAATTAGTGATTTTCAAAGTCTTTAGCTTTTTCCATTTTTCATTTATTTTTTCTTAGTAGATTTGTAGTATAAAAAGAAAAGAAAAAGGATCAAGAGATGGATGGAGGAGGGAAGGAGGGAAGGGAAAGGAGATGAAAAAAGGAATTGATATATTATGTACTTACACATTTTCAATTTTTACAAAAAAATAATTTAGCACCGTTCTAAACTTGGTCTTGAAAAATGCTTCCAAACAGCAAAATGAGAGCTTTACAAATCAAATAAAAACCTATTCAGTCAGATAGTTACATTGGATATGGTATCCTCGGAAATTAAAAAAGTATGGTTTTTTGAACAACTTCCAAGTTTATTTAAAAGCAAAAAAAGTCAGAATTCTTAATATACGTAACCATCCTATAACTCATCATTTCACAAACAATAGACCTGTCTCTTTTTACACACTCTGCACAAATATTTGACTGTAAACATAAGGGGAAAATGTTTTGTGCATAATACTATATGGATAACATTACAAACATACACACAGAGACATATACATATAACAAAAACAAATAAAAGAGATTACTTATAAAGCTACCCAAACTGTGAAAAAATCTATAAATAATATTCATGTATTTGAAATATTCTTTAACATGAATATAGTAACTGCAGATACTAAATGAAAATAAGCAAAAGTTCTTGAATAGCCATTGTGGTTGTTAAAAAATTCACTTATACACAAAAAATATACAAGACAGCTTCAAATTATAGCCTTGTTCAAAATTATATTTCCATCATCATAAATTTCTAAATGTGCAGAACTCTTGAAGACACTGGCATATGAAAAGACTGTAAAAAAATCCTCAGTAGAATGGGAACTAGCACAAAGAATCAACAACTGGGATCTTATCTTACTAAAAGCCTCTGCACTGCAAAAGAAACCACCAACAGAACTAAGAGAATCTACAATGTGGGAAAAAACTTTTACCAGCTGCTCCTCAGACAAAGGACTATTATCTAGAATACTGAAAGAACTCAAAAAAAATCAGCCCCCCCCAAATATAAAGGCCTGATTCAAAAATGGGCATCTAAAATGATCAGACATTTCCCAAAGAAGTAAAAGCAACAAATAAATATATGAAAAGATGTTCCACATCATTGGTCACTTGAGAGATGCAGATTAAAACAACACTGAGATTACACCTCACCCCACAAAGAAAGGCTGCTATCAAGAAATCAACCAATAGCAAATGTTGGTGGGGTTGTGGGGAGAAAGGAACCCTTCTCATTGTTAGCGAGAATGCAGACCGGTACAACCACTGTAAAAATCAATATGGAGATACCTCAAAGAACTAGGACTAGAGGTTCCATTTGACCCAGCCATCCCTCTGCTGGGTATATTTCCAAAGGAATTAAAAGGATCATACCACAGTGATATACATGCACCCATGTTTATAGCGGCACAGTTTGTAATAGCTAAAGCTTGGAAATAGCCCATTTGCCCATCAACTGGAGACTGGATAAAGAAGATGAGTTTTTCTATAACATGGAGTGCTACTTAGCCAAAAAGAATGAGAAATGAGAGTCATTCATAGGAAAATGGTTGCATATTGAGGCCATACTCTTAAATGAAATAAATAATACACACATGTGTAAATTCCAAATAGTTTCTCTGGTGTGAAAAACTAAAAGTGTAAATAAGATCCAAATTGTATAAATAACAATGTGAAACAGGAAGAAAAGGGCTAAAAATGTAGGGGAAGTGGGAAGGGTGGGAAAGGAAAAGAGGGAAAAGAAAAAGATATGACAAAAGGAAAGAATGGAAATAAAGTTTTTGTAAATGGGGGGGGAGGTAAACTGAAGGAAGGGGGATGGGGAAAAAATGGGAACCAAGGCCTGTCGTGTAAAGGTACAAGATCCCAATGATGAATGTAACTGTACTGTATCCCTAAAATGTACCAATAAACTCAATGAAAATAAATACCTAAATGTAAACCATCAGTTTTAGTCTATGATGGTAAGCAAGATTTAAATTTTTTTATTTATGAGAATAAAGATAAGTAATAAAAAATCTTTAGAAAAATCCAAATAAATAAAAAATTGTTTTTATTTCATATATTAGTTTTTCTTTAGTCTCTCAAGTTTCTTCCTGTCAGTTATTTAATTAGCATCCCATTCTTATTTGCGTCTAGGCAAACACCAAAATAATCAAGAGTTTTTTCTTTGATAACTAACCAAAATTGTGGAGTGCTCCTTTTCTTCAGCCAAGTGTTAATCTAGATGACCTACTTTCTCAGCAGGCCAAGATTATTTCTTGAAACAATAGCGCAGCTGTCCAGTCCTAGGATTGGATCTTTTCATAGGGCTTCTTA